GTCCAGCTGTTTGACAGAGCTAGAAAGCAGCCGGGGCCAGTTGATCTTCTGTGCTTGGATTGGCCAAGTCAGAGGAAAAAAAACTCAGCTCGCTGGGTCTGAGCTCTGTAGTAGAGATGCCCGGGCTCTTCAATCGGGAGTTTACACTGTGTCCCAAGATTTTATCCTGGGCAAAAATCTTGGCTCCTTACATTACAGGTAGTCCTCGACTTACGACCAGAGTTGAGTCCAACATTTCTGTCGAGACATTTGTTAAGTGAGTTTTGCCCCATTTTGCGACCTGCCTTGCCAGAGTGCTTAAGTGAATCACTGCAGTGGTTAAGTTAGAAGCACGGTTGTTAAGTGAATCTAGCTTCCCCATTGATTTTGCCGGTCAGAAGGTCACAAAAGATGATCACATGACCTTGGGACACTTGCAGCCGTCATAAATATGAGCCAGTTGCCCAGCATCTGAATTTTGATCATGTGACCATGGGGATGCTGCAAAGGTGGTAAGTGTGAAAAATGGTCATAAGTCACTTTTTTCAGTGCTGTTGTAACTTCGAACACTAAACAAATTGTTGTAAATCGAGGACTATCTGTACTGAGAAGGAGGAGATTATTTTCACCCAGGATTCCATTTGCACACAGTTTTAAAAAATAGCTAGATTAGGCCTTTGACAATATTTGTATCCAGGCTAATTCTGTAACATCAGAAACGGAGATGGATGCAAGAATAAAATTAGGTGGCAGCGTCCTGGGTGGATATGGAAGACTTTATTCTGGAATGGCTTAGAGCAAGGGTCTTCAACTTGGCCCTTTTATGACTTGTGGACTTCAACTCCCAGAATTCCTCAGCCAGCATGCCTGTCTGAGGAATTCTGGGAGTTGAAGTCCACAAGTCATAAAAGGGCCAAGTTTGAAGACCCCTGGCTTAGAGGCCTTTTTTACTTCTACAATCTGAAATTTCTGTCTTGCAACATCCCAGTTTCAGTTTTCTGGAATGTTTATATGTGCAAATAGATGTCAGTGTTCCAGTGTAGAAAATCCATTGCAGGTTTCCATATGAGATTAGGAACAAAAAACAATTATGGTTAGTCACACAGTCAGACAGATGTTTAGATTAGATTTGCCATTTTTGTCCTCTTACTGAGTCTTCCCAAGGACCTGTTTGCTTAATAATATTAAAGGTATCATCGCAAACTACAGTATAAGCTATTCCATGTAAAACTGCTTTTTGTAGTTGACTGATGGAGATTTTGTCAATACTGATGGTTTTCAACTGGTGCTCCAGATATTTTAAAATTGCATCCAAGTTTCCTATTGTTAGTACCAGCTTTGCTTTCTTTTGCCATAGTCATTCTACTTCTGTTTGCAGGTCTTTTTTATTTTTTATTTTCTCAGTTTCTCCATGTATTGCAGTGTCCAGTATCCAGACATTTTGTCTTATCAACAATTGTTAAGTCTGAATTATTGTATGGCAGTTATTATGGTTGGTTGCACAGTCAGCCAGATGCTTAGATTGGTTGTTATTATTACAGACTTTGAGCCTGGGATTATTAATGTGAACATTCTGGAAAAAATTGAATTGGAAAGAAAAATTGCTTAAGAGAAATAAATTTTTATTGCACAATTTTCTAATCAGCTATATATAAATTTCTCTCCCAATTGATATGCCCCTTTGGTGGAAGTACGCAGTTTTATACTATTGTAACAATAAGTATGTTAGTGTCACAGATCTAACTGTCCACATCTTCAATAGACACTCTAAGTTTGAGAATCAAAGAAAGGAATAACCTTTAGCATATAATGGCAGTCAGAGGCCATATTTCATGCACTGGGTTCTTCCTGGCATTTGGACCATGATTTCCCATACAATTGATTTTCTGGCATTAGTTATGAAGAGGAGAACAGACACTTCCATTTCTGAGCACATTTTAGCATTATGTCTAAACGTAACTTTCATTCTCTAGTGAGTACAGCCATAATTTGTTGTTGGCCCTTTTTGCAACTTTGTGTTGGTGCTTTGTAGTACCCATGTTCAATTGTTAGCATTCCCTTCTCTCAAATACGCACATACAACCTGACATGGAAATGAATTGCAGGACAGGTAACAGCATAACTATTCCTGTAGTACCAGTAGTAGACCTGGCTTTTTTGTTTTGTTCAGTTCTTTCTGGATGTGGGTGGCATAGCTGATTTTTCAAAACAAATGAGCTGAATGAAAGAGTTTGATTTTCCATCCTATTTTATGGTTGAGATCCAAGGAGGCCATTGTGTACTTGCAAATAATTGCAAAAAAAGGTTGGCAAAATCACAAGTTTGGTTAAGTCTTCTCCCACTTAATCAGCCATATAAAGGCAGCAGATTCTATAAACAGAGCAGAATTGTATGTACCTAGATATCTTCAGGGCATCTCGCGGATACGTTGATACTAAGTTCAGCTTTATTTGATCAAAGGTAAGGTACCTCCTTTTGTAGGGAGGAAATGCATAATATATATCATGTGGCTAGATATTCATAGTATAAAACCTGGGCATAATACTCATAAATAATGAGATAACCAAGAAACCTAGCTTCTGACCATAGAGCCAGATAGTAAATTTTCCCAACTTGTCCAACTTATGGAGATGTTGCTAAACTGAAGAGAAAATAGCTTTGTTGTTTTCTGAGAACTTATTTAAGTTACAGCCCTTGTGCCAACAAGCTTTTTCCTCTATTCATTCTGCGCAACCAAGAAACAGAAATCTAAGAAGTATTTATAAATCTGTGCATAAAAGCGTTATTTCACTTTTATACCAGCGGAGAGATTTGTCTCTTCTTGAGCCTATTGTAATGATTTTAACAATCCGTTTAACAAATGCAAATCATACGCTCTTTTGAGGAATAATGACAACCAATACAATGTTAATGCTAAATCCTTCTTGGACCAATTTCATTTGCTTGGAGGCAGTGTTAAATACAAGTTAGCTTACCCAGTACCCAACCTACTGTAACATTTCCTTCTGGAAAGATATCTCAAAATGTTTTCTTAGCCATAGTAAAGACGAGATCACTTTCTGGGCTATAGTGCTCAAGATTGCTTCAAATGTAGGACACTTCTTATAATCAGTAATTCCGTATTTATTCAAAATGATACACGGATGTAAGAAAGCTATTGTGTTTCTCTTATTCTTTTTAAATCATAAAATAATGTAATGTTGTATAACAACACATTAAACTATTAATATTAGAGCCAGTTTAGTTTGATGGTTAAGGCATCAGGTTAGAAACTGGAAGACTATGAATTGTACAGAAGTCCTGCTTTAGGTATAAAACCAGCTGAGCAAACGTGGGACAGTCACTTTCTCTTTGCCCTAAGGAGGAGGCAATGGCAAACCATTCTGAAAAAAAAAAAATCTTGCCAAGAAAACTGCAGGGATTAATCCAGGCAATCTCTGAGAATCATATACGATTGGATGGAAGAAAAAAAAACCAATTAGCACTGTTAGACTGTAAATGAAATGTGGGTAGAATCCACGTGATTCACATGGGCTGTGTCATTTGTTACACAGATACAGCGGAAGACTAAAGGATCTTGGCAGCTAGCATTTTCCTTTCCAAGTGGCTAGATTGATTAAAATTTTACATGCCCTACTTAGCTGCTGGACCTTGAAATGAAAAGTCATGTGAATATTTGCATATTCCTCGATGCTCTCTTGTAAACAGAGAACTTTAAAATGTGTTACAGGTAGTCCTAGACTTATAACAGTTCATTTAGTGACCCTTCAAAGTTTCAATGGCACTGAAAAAAGTAACTTATGACTAGTTTTCACACTTAACCTTTGTAGCATCCCGGTGGTCATGTGATCAAAGTACAGCTGTTTGGCAATTGACTCATATTTATGACGGTTGCAGTGTCCCAGGGTCACGGGGTTCCCTTTTGCGACTTGCTGACATGCAAAGTCAATGGGGAAGCCACATTCACTTAACAACAGTGTGACTAATTTGACAACTAATGATTCACTTAACTGTGGGAAGAAAAGTCGTAAAATGGGGGTAAACTCACTTAACAAATGTTTCACTTACCAACAGAAATGTTGGGCTCAATTGTGGTCGTAAGTCAAGGACTACCTGTATTTAGGTTTAGATATTCTTCCATTTTCACCTTAGCTTGACTGGGTTTTGGCTCCCTTTCTCCTAGCATTAAACCAAATGATGAGAGTGATGAATGGTTCCTTAGCTTGTATTGGCTTGCTTAATTGTGCACAGACACACACATACCCCGCCTGATTTCCCCTCTCCGGAATCCCCTTTTTCTTTGGAGTGTGTTATTTTATATGACTGGCACAAAATGTGTTGGTTTTTTCCTTTGGCTTTACATTTAAAAAAAAATTAGCTTGACTTGGTTTTAGGAGATCTTTTCCTGTGAATTACTCCTTTTGTAAAATTTTGCTTCTTCGTTTCCCCAGTCTGGGATTTGATTCCCCCTTCAAAAATACAGAATACATAGAATTAGAAGGGGACATCATGGTGGCCACCCATCTACCTTCTGCGACTTCATTTTACATAATAATAATACTATGACTTGTACTTTGATTTGTTCAATATTTCTTACCTCTTCTTCAGTTGAAAGGATTCTGATGCAGCTTATAGGTCAATGAAAAAAAAAATAAAGGAACAAGTGGTTCTTGTTTTCATCTATGTAAAAAAAGGTAAAAAGATGGAGGGGGAGGAAAACAACAGACTTCTGTTGTTATTAATTAACAATTTATTCTAGTCAGATTCCAAAGGACAAAACTGTGGAACTGAACCGTGAATAAAAAAATCTTTTTTTCTAGGTAAACAGTGGGATCATTGCAATGTACCATCAGATAATGTGTCCTTTTACTGGAATAAATTGTGGAAATATGCATAAGTGCAGCGTGTTTGAATCTTACTACTGTATTATAATTGAGACAGCATCTCACACCTTATTGGCACCTTATTTTTGCTCCTGAAACAGTGTTTCTATTTTGTCTCACTGAAATAGAACAACCGTACAAGAAAAGGAAAGTATCTATTGCAGAACGATTGGAATCTCTAATAAGCAAAGTGGGAGAAAAGGTACGGAAAGCTAGCATCTTCATGTTTTTGTGGTTTCTTTGTGTGAGCATAATACAAATACTGAAATTTTGGATGGATGGATGAATAATGTTCTGTTTCAGCAGTCAGTTCCACTCTACTTGATTTTTCAGTTTTCTAATTAATAGTAAGAAAACATTACAGTGATACCTCAATACTCAGCGTTAATTTGTTCTGTGAGGCACGATGAGCACCAAAAACTATGAGTACCAAACAAATTTTTCCCATAAGGAATAATGTAGTGAGTCACAAGGCAGCCGACACCGACAAGTTCTAGCTTCTGTGTTGAGTACCAAACAAATAATGAATACCGGGACAAAATTTTCACATCAAAATGTGTTGAGAGTACCAAATTCAATGAGTTTCAAAGCAGTTGAGTACCAAGGTACTGTTGTACATGGCTGCTGAGTTGATCAGCTGTTCCTGTTGGACTGATTAGAGTTTTTCAGTATTTTTATATTAGAAGCACTCAGCCATATAGTTATTACTCTGTGGCCTTGTTGGACTGCAGTCCTGTCAATGCTCATTGTATCTGAATTTTTATTAATAATGCACTTAATCCATGTAAAATCTCAATAATTATACAGTTTTGCTTCAGTAGAGGAAAAAATAGTGACTTAAAATAGCCTGTAAAAAGGAAAAGAAACAAACATGACAAGGAGCACTGTGCCAGAATTTACTAGTGAGAATAAGAAAATGAAAATAGTGCCTACTTGTTGACCAACCAAACACTAAATACTGTGTGTTTCCATTAGGCAAAAAATGAAACATAAGGTAATAATCAGCAAGGCAAATAGATTCCCAATCTGCTATTATATTTAGTGCAATTAAAGTTTTTAATTTATTGAAGTATTTATTGAAATCGCTGTGAGATCATTTTGCTGAAACACAATGAACTCATTCCTTAGGTGGATGACATTAAACTACAAGACCGAAATGAAAATGTGTAAATGAACTTACAGTTATGAAATTTCATTTCCACGTTTTTGCTACGCAGAGGAATTGCTGCTGTTTTTGAAATATGTAAAAATAATGTATAAGGTCACAGTTGTACGAATATTAGCTATTCAATTCCATGGCACTGCAGCTATTATTTATCATCACTATTGATAAAATATGTGGTGATTATATTAATATCTTTACATTTCCTTGATAAAGGAATTTTATTTTAACGCACAAGAGTTTCCCAAGTTACACTTGTATGGCTTTTAACCATGAATAAGGGTAACTTGAGTTCATCAAAGTTTGCCGATCAGTTTATCAAGTACCAATTAAAAGGAATCTTTATTTATCATCATTCAGAGCCAGTATCTCGGCAGGGTGGCCTTCAGAAATATTAAAGACGAAGCCATTTTGCATAAGAACAGAAGGGAGCTAATTTTTGGGGTGCCCAACCTCAGAGCACCTATTTCTTCTTAACCATTGGAACTAGGAAAGACATGCACACATTTTATATTATATATTAAGCATGAGCAAATTTGTATTTATTCACTGGTCAAATGGCATATTCACTAAAGGGCAATATGTCAAGTTGAAGGGATATGCTTCCTTTTCTATTACTCCCTCCTTGAAAGATTTTTTTACAACTGGGGCAATAGCTTCACAAGCTTAATGTGTGATGAGATGACCCCCCCCCCAGGGGTCATGTAGACCCACATCTTAAGTTCAGAGCCAAGATTACATTTTAATGAGATTCTACTTCATTTTTTTTTTTAAAAAAGAAGCATCCCAAGAACTTGATGCAATCATTTTTCTAAGAAAACCTTCATCTCCTTAAATGTGGGAGAAGGAGAATTCCAAAACTTTCTGGTGACATGGCAGAATCGCTGCCGTAGCCGCTGCAGTCCATGGAAGGAAAGAGAATCTTGATAATAATATGCTTAACAGTGATTTTTTAATATTTTATTCCCTTCAGAGTCCTTTCTCTTTGGAAAGTAGAATAGAAGGCTTGGCTGGAGTTTTGGAGGCAGATCTACCAAACTACAAAAGCAAAATACTGAAACTCCTTTGCACAGTGTATGTATGCAAAAGATTTATGGATTTCGGTGATAATACAGTACTTACAGTAAAGATGTTTAAATATCTACTTTTGAAAAAGGTCACCTTTCCAAAACATTTTATTGTATATATTGTATGCCTGCATATTTTATCCTGTTTAAAGCATTTTTGAAACTTGGATGCAATATGGATAATTAGGAAGGAGAGCAGAGAGGAGCAGCAGTGTCAAAACGATTCCCTAGTGCTGATCATTCGGGCTCAGTAACAGCAATACAATTGTCTTAATTGTCTTCTGCAGCAATACGTTGAGATGCGATTCGCAGTGCAAGCTTACTCTGGACTTTTCATAAGAGTTCAAAGAAAGGATTACATTTTTGTCTGACTTGTTGCTCATGACATCTTCTCCTTTCAACTAATGACCTCCTTTGCAAGGAACATATTGCCTTCTCATTCTGAAACTGAGTTAAATTTGGGATTGGGGGACAACATCAAAACAATGGAGGATTATGCATATTACATATCGTTGAGTTTGATTTTCCAGTTGGAATTGCAGTATTAACATTGGATGAAAACTGAATTGACTCTAGCAGTATCTTTATTTTTAATGTGGTATACTGCTTCTTCTCAAAAGGTATGCATCCCAAAGAGCTTGAATTAACTATAAATAGGAGTAATGAGATCACAGTTTTGATCAGAGTTATTGTTTGATACTACTTTCTCTCTCTTTTATGAAAAAAAAACTTCAGTGCACGTCTGTTACCACAGAAGATGACCATTTATACAACTCTTGTTGGCTTGCTGAATGCCAGAAACTACAATTTTGGTGGAGAGTTTGTAGAAGCAATGATACGTCAACTGAAAGAATGTTTGAAAGCCAACCTGTACAATGAAGCTATCTATTTAGTAAGTTGTTTTCATACCTTAGAGTCTTTGCACATTACCTTCGACATATATCCACAATTGAGACTAGAATTTCACTCATCACATTCTCAAGTGAATCATTTGATGTGATGATTTATTAACACATTAAGAGAATCAGGACTGGAGGTTAAACATATAAGGAATGGTTGCTGGAATTGGGTATGTCTAGTTTAATGAAGAGAAGGATTAGGGGGTGACACGATAGCAGTGTCTCAATATCTCAGGGACTGCCACAAAGAAGAGGGAGTCAAGCTATTCTCCAAAACACCTGAAGGCAGGACAAGAAGCAATGGATGGAAACTAATCAAGGAGAGAAGCAACCTAGAACTAAGGAGAGACTTCCTGACAGTTAGAACAATTAACCAGTGGAACAACTTGCCTCCAGAAGTTGTGAATGCTCCAACACTGGAAGTTTTTAAGAACAGATTGGACAGCCATTTGTCTGAAATGGTATAGAGTTTCCTGCCTGAGCAGGAGGTTGGACTAGAAGACCTCAAAGGTCCCTTCCAACTCTATCATTCTTAATGTTATTGATTTTAACGAACATTTTTACCATAGCTATTAAGCAAATCACATGGTCATTAAGCAAATTGTGTGGTTAACTGAATCCAGATTTCCCAATTAATATTGCTTGTTGGAAAGTGGCTAAGGAAGTTACAACTTGCAATAACGTGACTGCAAGTTATTGCAGCTGGTCGAAGATGTGAACTGATTGTCAAGTGCCCCAGTTGCAATCCTGTCGTCAGCGTGAGGATAAATGGCAAATCACTTTTTCCAAGGCCATCATAACTTTAAAATATCATTAAGCAATTATAAGTCAAAAGGCTGCCTATATTTAGATTGGTTTTCAATGAATTTGAAGAGCTCTCCATATGGGCTATGAAGGTAAAAAAATGTAATTTCATGTAATCATATAATACAGGGAGTCCTCGACTTACGACCACAATTGAGCCCAATTTTTTTTTTGTTAAGTGAGACATTTGTGAGTTTTGTCCCATTTTATGTCCTTTCGTGCCATAGTTGTTAAAAGAATCATTGCAGTTGATAAGTTAGTAACCCGGTTGATAAGTGAATCTGGCTTCCCCATTGACTCTGCTTGTCGGAAGGTCACAAAAGGCCTTGGGACATAGCAACAGTCATAAATATGAACCAGTTGCCAAGCATCTGAATTTTGATCATGTGACCATGGGGATGCTGCAAAGGTTTTAAATCGCATTTTCAGTGCCGTTGTAACTTTGAACGGTCATTAAATGAACTGTTGTAAGTTGAGGACTACCTGTATACCCATCCAAACCTTTCCATTGGCTTATTTCTTCTGACTTTGTCATAGCAGCTCTGTAATGTGAACGGTGCCAGTTTTTGCGATCTCCTGATCTAGACTTTTGTTATTTCGATAATAAACCAGGTTTAAATGTCTCTTCAGTTGTATCTTGGCCCTGGGATTCCTCTTACCCCAGTAAAAGATGCTGAAGCAGATACAGCCTAGGCTTCTGCAAGGTTCTTACTTGGCCTTATGAGAACTCTTGCTGATCCATGCTTTGGGGAAATACACGACTGAGAATTGGCAAAATGTTCTCTTTCTCCAGGTGCGCTTTTTTTCTGATCTTGTGAACTGTCACGTAATAGCTGCACCCTCAATGGTAGCCATGTTTGAGAATTTCGTCAATGTGACGCAAGAGGAGGACGTACCTCAGGTAAACAATAATACTTTTGTTTCATAGGTAGAGAAACAAATTGCTAAAATTTGTTACTGTGATTATTTTACTTTTTTTGTAATGTGTCCCAAAGGTGCTTCCCCTCCCCCCCCCCAAAAAAAAGACAAGTGGACTTTGTTTTTCCTTGAAAACTCTTCGCTTTTCATCCAAGAAGCTTCTTCAGCCAGAACTGAAGAATCTTTTAGTTGCCTTTTGGGGGGGGGGAAAACACCTTTGGGACAACTATGACTTGGATGACTGAGAAACTCCATAGACATTTTTTGTAATGGCAAGCCTCTCCTCAACTTGTATTGCAACAAAAAGCCTGAACAGTAAGCTGTAACAATTGGCCATGTGCCCTCTGGTCCATTGTCACAGGCTTCCGTGGTCTTCAGGAGGAATGTAAATACAACAAAATAAAAATGGGAGATGGCCATGATTTAGACAGGCAAAAGGAGTCCTCACCATTGTATCCTATCTCCGTTCAAAAGATCTGCAGTTCAAAAGATCTGCAACATAGCTCCTAAAATGTTTCTAAAATCTAAATTTGTAGAAGGCCTTTTAATCATACCTATTGGGTTGATGCCTGACAGATGTTTGCCAGAACCTGGCTGATGTCATTTACTCCAGAGAGTAAGTCTACATCTTAATTTCAATGAGAAGCAATAGGTGAAATACCTCCTTGAAAAAGCTTATGTAAATAATAAAGCATCAGCATGACATAAGTAAAATGGGGGGGGGGAGGTTGTCCTATATTTTTTTTCATTGCTTTGTGCAGATTCAGTGCGTACTCTCCCGTGCACCTATGTGCAGGAAGTTTTAAAATGATTAAAATCAACCATTCATGTTCAGAGACTTGTAAGCATATGAACCTGATCCCTAGAAGTTTTGCACCTGAAGCGTCATAACATTAGAGTTAGAGTTGTGGAATCATAAATACAGTAGTGGTTCCTGTAAATCTCAAATCTTTGACCTGATTTAGCTTTTATGGCAAAAACCAGAAGTATTTTCTGATTGCGTTTTGTCCATATTTTTACTAACAGGTGCGATGTGACT